TGGCCGAGCACTTGCCGCCCCCTCCGCCCCCGCCGCACCGCTCGCTCGCCGCGTCGGGGTCGTCCCTCCGCCCTGTGCACGAGCCGGCCGGGGCGGCGGCCTCGCCCGCGTGCACTCTTCTCCTCCTTATGCTGGACGACGTACAGCGGGTCGGGCACGGAAACGGCGGCCGGGCGGCGGTGGCCGCGCTTCCCGCCTCTCCAACGGCGCTCGCCCTGCTCGGTTTGGTGTGCGAGGGGGGGCACCCCGCGCACTCACCGGGAGAGGCGGCCCCGACCTAGACACTTCCTAGACACCTCCTAGACACCTCCTAGACACTTCCTAGCCGCTCGTGGCGGGCCCCGCGCTGCCAGACACTTCCTAGACACCTCCTAGACACCTCCTAGACACTTCCTTAGCGGCCCCGATGCTCGCCGCGCTGCCAGACACTTCCTAGACACTTCCTAGACACCTCCTAGACACTTCCTAGGCGGCCCCGATGCTCGCCGCGCTGCCAGACACTTCCTAGACACCTCCTAGACACCTCCTAGACACTTCCTAGGCGGCCCCGATGCTCGCCGCGCTGCCAGACACTTCCTAGACACCTCCTAGACACCTCCTAGACACTTCCTAGGCGGCCCCGATGCTCGCCGCGCTGCCAGACACTTCCTAGACACCTCCTAGACACCTCCTAGACACTTCCTAGGCGGCCCCGATGCTCGCCGCGCTGCTGCGCCTCGCGCGCGATCGAGCCCCCTTGGCGGAGATCGGCGCCGAGCTCGTCCTCGCCGCGTGCACCCACCCCACCGCCGCGCCAGCCGCCCTCGACGCCCTCGCCGCCTCCGCCGCTCTGCCTCCTCTCCTCGCCGCCACGTCCGAGCTGGTGCTGCCCCTCGCGCGCTCCTCCGCCGCCGACGCCACCGCCCTCCTCCACGCCGCCGGCTTCCGCTTCAAGATCGCCGCCGCCGCGCTCGCCGCCGCCACCCGCCCCGCATCTTCTCCCTCGCCCGAGGCGCTCTCGGACGGGCGGTGGGGCGAGCAGTCGCTCGAGCCCCTCCTCCTCGCCCTCCTAGCCCCGCCCGCCGACGGCCCTCCGCCGCACGATTCGCCCCTCTGCTCCGCCGTCGCCGCGCTCGTGCAGGTCGCCGCGGCGCGGCTCGGCGGGCCGTCCCCGCCGCTGCCAGGCATCGTCCCTTCCGACGGGGGCGCGTTCGCGGTGAGCGAGGCGCGCGGCGATGGCGCCGTCCAGCTGCTCGACGCCGCGGCCCTCGACGCCGCCCTCCCCGGCGCTGGGGCGGCGGAGCGGCGGTCCGCTTTGCGCGCGGCCGTCGCCTTCAACGAGCTGCAGCAGCAGGCGCACGCATGTGGGCACGCCCTCCGCGGCTTGCGCGACGTGTGCGTGCTGCTCGGCCGCGGCTGCGGCGAGATCGACTACTCTGCCCCGCGTCTGCAGGCCTCCGAGGCGGCCTTCGGCTGGCTGCCCTCCCTCCCTCCCTCTGCCGCGCCCCACCTCGCGCCTCCTCTCTGCGAGTGGGCCTCCGCCCTGCTCGTCGGCCTCGGCACGGCGCCGATGCTGCCGCCCGCCGCCCACCTGCAGCTGCTCACCCACTGCCGCTCGCACTGTCTCCGGCGAGCGGCCCCGCCGCCCCGACGGCGGAGGCGCGCTGCCAGGTCTACGTTGCGATGCTCTGCCTGCTGCGGCTTGGCGCGCCGCACCGCCCGAAGAGCGGCGCGGCGGGGTCCCCCCCGCAGCAGGCAGCGTTGCCGCTGCGGGCGGTGCCCTCCCGCCCCGACGGGGCCTCTG